ATGTGTGTGTGTGTGTGTGTAAGAGTGAGAAAGAGAGATAGAAGGATATACCCTCGTGTTTTCAGGCTTACGTGCCCGTCTACGTAAACGCGAACCCAACCATCTTTATCTTTCTCTTTCTCTCCTTTTATCTTTGCCCTTTATCTCTCTCTCTTTTTTTCTATCTTTTTGCAACGCTCGTTTAATACTGTCTTTCTCATCGCCTGGTCTACGTTGTATGAAAGGTATACTGTACTGTGCTTCACCGGTCGAACGATCATCTTTCTCTTCTTCTTGACTATATACATCACCAACACCCCCTCCTCCTCCTCCTCCTCCTACTTCTTCTTCTATTCCTCATCCTTTAACTTTAACTACAACTCGCGGTCTCTTCCTCCTCCTGGTTATTAAACGAGAAAACGAGACCACGATGAAGAGAAGACCTATCATCCTTTCTTACTTCCTTCCTTCCTTTCTTACTTCCTTTCTTACTTGCTTGCTTGCTTGCTTGCTTGCTTGCTTTCTTGTTGTCTAGCGAAAACCTAACCGCGAATTCTTCTTACTTAATTTCGTTTATATATGTTTACAATAAGGTTAATTGAAAAATCTTGTTCTTTGATCAATGAGGTTCAATCGTTTCTATGTAGAAAAGAATATACTCGATTGATCATAATCTCTTTTCCTGAATAAGAAGATATTTCAATTATTATTTTAGAAGTACAAAATGATGCTAAACTAAACCTAAAATTGAAATATATCGAAAGGATATTGAAGGGTTTATAAGTATTATCCAAGTTTAATGTAAATTGCGTTAGATTGAAAGTTTATTCCGAAAGATCGTATCGAAACTTCAAATTCTCATTTTGTTAATTACTTTTATCAAATATACAATAAAAAAATCATAACCTCCAAACTTTTCTCTAATCAAATTATCTCGAAATATTACGTTAATTGCAAATCCAGGAATAATGAAATTTGTATACGATGTAAAAGAAATTGTTTGAGAGTTTATCAAAATGTGCTTTTTTTTACATTCGTAACGGATTCGATGTTCATACGAAAATCGTGTTTTAAGAATTGAGATTTAAGATGATACGATAATGGCGGTGACGCCATTACGTAACGAGAAGTAGAAGAATAAAAAGAAGAAAAAGAAACAAAGGAAAGTGAAAGGTTCGATTGTTTTTTGTTTTGTACCAAAAACACTTTCCCCATTTCTTTTCGTAATCATATTTTTCAGATATCCCCGTAGAAATAACAAAAAGATTTATCAAAAAGAAAAAAAAGAACACTTTAGATAGTTAGATTATTTTGTATTTCATCTCGGGAGAATAATATCCGCGCTTATATCTCATCGTAAGAAGAAAGATCGTAAATATAGCATCGTTGGCGACGGTTTATCTACGTCAACGGCACAACGCAGCACGCGTCGGTGCGTGTTCTTGGAAAAAGGAAGAATACAAAAGCTAGAAAGAGATAAAAAGATATAGAGGAAGAGAGAGAGAGAGAGAGGAAGATAGAGAACACGTTTGTGCGTATGGGTGTGCACAGTGTCCCTCTTTTCACGCGTATTAAACGCCGTTGTTCTCACGTATATATAAGCTTATATACCAATACACCTTTTTCCTCTTCCCCGTTTGACAGCCCACCACCACCACCACCACCACCCTTTTCAGTTGGTCATCGTTATCGTTATTGTCGTCAGCGTTCAAACTTCTACGAAATCCAACGTCTCGATTATTAAACAACTGCGTTTGAATCTATCTAACGTGGATTAAATCAACCATGGTCAGCCATATGTAATTTATATTTTATACACACCAATGGGATCAACTTAAGTATCTAATATATATATTAGGTCTTTACTGATTTCTCTTTTGTATCATATTTCTTTAATTGCATACTTCGATACTACTTAAACGTAAAAATTCTATGTGTGCGGGTGTCGTCGTCAACGTTCAAAGTGGATGAGGAGACTAAAGAAAAGGAAAAAATTCAAGAACGATGACAAAAGTTTAGAAAACCTCCAACAAAATCTTCAATTTTCAAAAGTAAGAGAAGTAGGTTATGATATAGTAGTTGGTAGAACTTTGAGATTTTTCGTTAGATTCGTACGAAGGAAAGAATGCAGGAAGGAAGGAAGGAAGGAAGCAAGAAAAGAAAAGAAAAGAAAAGAAAAGAAACGAAACGAAACGAAGAAAAGAAATGAAAAGAAAAGAAAAGGGGGGAATGAACGAACAGTGAACTTTCACCGTCGTTTAAAACATTCTGCGACAAAGTCATGACCTTGAGAAACGAATGAACGAACGAACCTCACTCACATTCCTTCCTTTTCCACGCTATATCCATGTTTTCACCGACAGTTACGGTGTTCTCTCTCTCTCTTTCTCTCTCGTTTTGTTCCGAAGCCTCCGACACGAAAACTTCCAACTGTGTATGAGATAAACATACAACCTATAGAGAAACTCTCATATACATATATGTTATATAGATTGCAGTAGAAAGAGAGAAAGAGTTAGGGGTAGGAAGGTGGAAGGAGGAGGGTGGGTGGGTAGTGGGAGGTTGGATAGAAACAGAGAGAAATATAAGTGGGGGAAGAGAACGTAAACACGAACGGAAAACAATGGCGCTCGTGTAACAAAACGGAGATTCTCGTCCTTCGTAGTAATGCGCACATGGTTCGATTTGTATATTCGTCAGGTTGGACTGGGATTGTTATAGGGAAAGACAGGGATAGAATATAACCTCATCCCTTTTCTCTTTCCAACTCCTACCTCTTTCTATTTCTCTTCCCTTTCGTTGGCATTCCGAGTGAACAACGAAAGAGTGACTGAGTGAGTAAATGCGCGCGCAAACTCTTCTATATCTTTCCTTTTCTACTCTAAAGCTGACGATTTATACCGTACATATAACTAGGTATAACTCCAGCCTGAGTTCCTTCTCTCCATCTCTCTTTCTCTTTCTCTTTCTCTCGAGGTGTTTCTGTTTTACCTACCGTTGACTCGTAAACGCAGTTTAAGCGACTCCGAGTCAGTGGTAGTCAGCGCCGCTCTCGCATTACGGAAGTGAAGTTTTCAAGTTCCACGACACTGACCCAGTTTACTCTCTTTCTCCTCCTCCTCCTCCTCCTGCTCCTCCCCCTCCTGTTGGTTCCCCGTTTCCCTCCTACCAACTGCTAACTCCCCCCACCCGATCCGTAGTTCTCTCTCCTTCCCCGTTTATTCCTTTCCTCGTCTGTCGCCCCGTGCTCGCCGGGTTCTCTTCTCTTTCCCCTTTACCCCTTACTGCACCCGTTATCAGCCCTCTTTGTCTCTCTTCCTTAATACTTCCAGACAGTGTGTGTGCTCTAGCGCAGTTATTAGTTTCCTCTCTCATACCAGGTCCTTCCCCTATCCCCCCCTCTCCTTTTAGTATCTTCTCTACATATGCATACTACATCAAGGAACATAAATAAATGTACATATAGGTAAAATACGTGTTGCTTTAGATGATCGGGGACGAGTTTAACGATCAGATGATATTCCTTAGGATGGGATCGATTCAATTAATCAACCCTAACCCCTACTCACCCTCTTACGCTCGTGCCTAATATCTTAATCGTTTGAATTTTTCTTTTGTTCCTCTACTACTACTACTACTACTACTGGATTCACTTGTCCATGTTTTGAAGGAATCTCGGAATGTTGGACCGAAAAAAAAGATCTTTTTGTTGGCCGATCGGGGCAACTGCACATCAGGCTAGTTAGATTCTAGTAATTTATCTTTCGACTGATTTAGCTAATCATATTTATAATAGATATTTATTGGACAACGGCAACATTTACGGGCACGTTAAGACAACGTGACCACGCGACACGTAGAATAAAAATAAGAATAAGAAGAAAAAGGATCTCGCGAATGGAAAGTCATAAAAGTAGCCGTTGCCAAATCGCTGACACCGTCGTCGTCGTCGTCGTCGTTGAGCATCCGTCGGGCATCAGTCGCGTCCGTCGTTTCAGTTCTCCCCTTCCCCCTGTGTTAGGCCCCTTCTAGCCCCGTAGCCCCTGTTCATGGTGTTACTATGTCCTTCTTCCTTCCTCGTCCTGAAATATTTGCCCTCTCTTACTCTTTGGATACGCGTACGTTGTGTGAAAAGAAAGAAAAAGAGAGAAAGAGAGAGAGAGAGTGAGTGAGAGACGCACACGCGGCATCGCATGCCACGAATCCAACTCACACTCCATCTCATCCGCTTCATTGTCCGCGTCTCCTATATTCCCCCCTTCGGCACGTCTCACCTTTTTCGATCGTCGTCGGAAGAGACGCGCGAGACCTCGCTTCGCGATTGGAAAACGTCCCCCCCTTTCTCTCTCACACACACTCACACACACTCTTACTTAACTCTGTCGGCCTCGCATAAACCCATACACGTATACACACAGAGACAGGACACATACACGTCTAGAATGGAAACGTAGTAAGGCATGACGAGACGATTCGATACCTTGGCGTCTGAAATGACGGTGGCCGCTTGCCTGTTGGAAGAAAAAATGCTGTGTTCGAGGCTTGAAAGAGAGTAACAGGCCCCCGTGAGACTAACAGACCCAGCGAGACCAAAGACGATCGGCGACGACGACGACGACGACGACGACGATCCTGTTGATGACGAGAGAGAGAGAGAGAGAGAGAGAGATAGGAGGCCGCAGCCGTCTGTGCTCGCACGAACGGAGACCTAACCGGCATAAGAGCGCGATATTATAGGGGTATGGGTAGGGCCCTGAAGGACTGGCCAACAGATCAACAGACAGGACGGACGGACGGACCGACGGATGGACGGACCAACCCAACAAGCAAGCAAGCGAGGAACCATCAGCCATCCTGTCATAGACAGGATGTGAGGGTCCGCGAGTCCCGGGTAGGCAGCACCGTGCCGTACCGTATCCTATCGTATCCTATCGTACCGTACCGTTTCGCGTTTCCTCGCGCGTCTCGAGAACCTCTATGTCAGTATAGTTGCGTCCTCTTTCACCTTTCATCCAGCTCATCCTTCTTCTCTTTGTTCCCTGTTGTTGAAACAGACTGAGTTAGGTTTGTTAGCTAGCTAGCTGGTTGGGTTGGTTGGATTGGTTGGTAGCTACATTACGTAGTCAGCACGCGTGTACGCACGCGAGACTTCACTCCGTGGACCGAACAAGACATCGCTGAGCCAAGAAGAATTCCAAATGTATTTAGAGTTTACTAAGAAACAAGAAAGATAAATAGAAATGGAAATAGTAATGCGATTTGTATTAACACTGCGGCTAACCCTTAAAATAATTTTAAGCTAATGTTAGTTGCTAAATGGCTAGGGTCATGAAATTCTAGGCAAAATGTACAACGGTGTACTGAAGGTGGTGGTGGTGGTGGTGTAATAGTACTGGTGGTGGTGGTGGTAGTAGTAGCCTTAGGGGAGATTATCGATAGCATTTGGTCGATCGATTTACATTGGAATCGGGTATTCCAAGGTAGAGGCTAAACTCTCTCTCTCTCTCTCTCTCTCTCTCTCTCTCTCTCTCTCTGTTAGGTTAGAACCAAAAGCATGAGAAATAGAGAGAGAGAAGGCTGGGGGGGGGGAGGGGAATGGTCGTTCCAAAATGACGAGGTTAGCACGGAAAGTCGTAACGTGTTGAGATTGTCTCTGTGTGAGTGATGTTTCTCTCTCTCTTTCTCTTTATCTCTCTCTCTATCGAGGACGCGGAATGGTTTGAGAAAAGAGAGAAGAGAAGTGAAGAGAAGAGGGAAGGCTCGACGAGCACCCGAACCGTGCCGCTCGTAAATTCTCTCGGAAGGAACGCACCGTGGCATGAGAGAGTCTCTCTCTTTCTCTCTTTCTCTTTTTCATTCTCTATCTTTCTCTGTTACCTTGCCGCTCAGCCCCGCGGTAATATTACTCGGTTTATATCGGGGCTCTGGGTTCGACGGAAGGTGTCCGCGACGGGTGCGCGCGCGCGCGCGCGAGAGAGAGAGAGAAGGAGCACAGCCGCGAACCGATGCCGCTGCTGCTTACAACACACACACACACAGACATACACACAGACAGGCTACTCAACTCACACTCTTTAACGAACAACCGAGATTGCACGGATACGGGAGAGACAGCAAAAGCAGGCGGGCATAGGGTTCGGAAGGGAGAGTCTTAAAAAAAAAATAAAGGAAAAAGAAAACTAAGAAAGAAAGAAAGAAAGAAAGAAAGATAGCGAAGAACGATCTGGAAAAAAAGGAAGAATGGGTTGGGTTGGGCAGGGCAGGGCAAGAGGGAGGGAGGAAAGGGGGGGTTGGGCGCATCATCGCGTTCGCTTTAGTGGCATGCGGTGCCTGGGTTCTGTGCTGCGGTATACCCAATCTTGGATTTTACCGCACAGCGAAGAAGAACAGCGCGGATCATTGAAAAGCAGAGCAGAGCAGAGCAGAGTAAAGCAGAACAGAACAGAATCGAGCAAAAGCAGAACAGAGCACCGCAACAAACCATACCCATGCTATGCCATGCCATACCATCCCATGGCATGCCAAGCCAAGCCAAGCCAAGCCAAACCATGCCATGCCATGCCATGCCATACCGTGCTATGCCGCGGCGCTACTCGCGTTGAATCGCGGCTTCGTGCGCGACCAAGGGGCGACGAGGGGCGACGAGGGGTGTGACGAGACTCCGGAGCTGGGGCAAGCAAGCAAGCGCCTGGCAAGCGGGTTGCGAGGTGAAGAGAGGCAAGGCAAGGCAAGGCAAGGCGAACAGCCAAGCTCAGGCAAACCGAACCCCGAGGGATCGAGACAGGGCCCCAGCTCTTTGGAGTATATACTCCACTCTCCCAGCACACACCATCAAACAAGAGAAAGAGGAACGATTCTCTCCCTTCTTCCCTCTCCCTCTCCCTCTCTATTGGCGTCGCGTCGCGTCGTCGTCGTCGTCGTAGTCGCCACCGCCGATAACCTATAAGCCTGAACACCGTATCGTGGCTTTGCGTTAGCGAGCTACACACGCATAAACTCAATACATATACAGACTAAGCGCGAACAGCAAAGGCTCACAACACAACGCGCGGCGTTGCCGAGCACGTTCGTGTTGGCTCCTCTCTCTCTCTCTCTCTCTCTCACTCTCTATCTTTCTCTTATGAATGTCTGCTGTCTGCTGTTACTGCTTCTCTCTGTGTGTACTTGTGTTGGAGGGTCGCGCGTTATGTCCCACACTCTCTGCTGCTGTTGCTGCTGCTGCTGCGAGTAGTTCTGGCCCTTTGTGTGCACACGATCACGCGCACGCAACATCGCAAGGGACGGCGACGACGTGCCCGGGTGCTGTGCCGTTCCGTTCCGTGCCGTGCCGTGCCGTGCACGGATCCGCTCCGCTTCGCATCGACGATACCCGGCCTTACTCGCGGAACAGCTGCCCAAAGCCCTTTTCTCATCCCGTCGTCCCTATTTTCCTCAGCTTCGTCTTATTCGCATTTCATCCTACTATTCCTTTCTCTCTCCCTCTCTCTCTCTCTCTCTCTCTCTCTTTCTCTTTCTATTTCTTTTTCTTTTTCCTCCCCCGCTCGAGAGACTAACCCGCATGCTACAATCGACGCGTGAGATCGAATGCCCCAAGGGGCCCCTCTTTACTCCTTTTTTTTTTTTCTTCTTCCTCTTCTTCTTCTTCTTCTACTTCTTCTTTTTACAAGAGTCCCTAGGTCCGATATATTCCTTTTCTTATTAAAGAATGCCGCGAATTCGCGTGATCTCATTTTCTCGATACCTTTTTTTCTCTTATTTATTTTTATTCTTTTTTTTTTTTCTCGTTTCACGTTGTTCTTTTTGTTTTATTCAGGTTTCGCGTAAACCACGGGGGTTATATGTATATGTATGCCTCGGTAAATTTGCGTTTCAACCCAAGAACCGTGCACAGCAGCAACAGTAACATCAGCAGCTACACCAACAGCAGTAGACACGTGGTACGACCTCGACTCGCTAATGGACGATGGACTTTGACGCTCGCGGATACGCAGCGGGTTGCTGCCTCGCGTACACACACACACACACACACATACATACATATATACACACATGTCTCTCTTTCCTGTACGCTGTTATTCGATACTAACAGATACTACACAGATGTGTGCACGTCCATGTCATGTCGAGGACGCGACGGCGGACGACACTCCTCCAAAGTCCTCCTTCTCATCCTCCCCTGGCGTCGTCGTCGTCGTCGTCGTCGTCGTCATTGTCGTCGTCGTTGTCGTTGTCGTCGTCGAATACTCGGTGACTAATCGGCGCAAAAAATCTCGCGTATTATGAGCCGTGCGTTAACATCGAGCACAGGGGATTTGCAATCGACTAGGGTCTCTGTTTCCTCTTGCCTCTTTCTCTCTGTCTCTCTCTCTCTCTCTTTCTGTGTGAATACAAAAGATGAAGGGAGAAAGGATGAGATGACAGATGCGGSGGGGGGGGGGGGGCGAAGAGAACTCAACAGGAGATGCATTCTTTCCGTCATTCGTTATTGTAACCCCGTTCCTTCCTACTTTCCATCATCGATTTTATCTAGTTAAAATCTATTCGCGTCCGAATATTTCTTATTTTCCTTCATAAACATAATAATAATTATCTTTCCGATTTATTATGTTTTTTCTTTTTTCCTAAGATAAGATAAAATCCTCGATGATATCGAATAATTCTCGATATGTTAGCATAGCAGAAAAAAAAAGATTTATAAAAATAACGAGAAAGTGCTATTCATTTTCATAGCTGAAAATGCGTTATCCTATAAAAACGTCTTTCTAAACGGAGGGATTCCTTTTTTATTTATTCTTTTTTTTTTTTTCTATAGATCAACATGTATTTTTTTATTCTATAGCCGCTTCCCAATTCGTGTCTTTTTGAAGATCGTGAAGTAGATACACTTCTATAGTCAATATAACTGATGAATGAAGGACGTGAATTTACATTTAATAGAATCTCTATTTCGATGGGTCTCCTTTTGATGGGTCCCCGTTTACCTGAATTTAGTTACTAAATCAGGTCCCTTTTTTTTGTGTCGTTAGATTTTTTTCACATTTGGATACCATTAATTATGTTACTTTCAGGTACACCTATTTTATCTAAACTATATAATAGAAGAAGGATTTCGATTCTTTAATCATTAATCAATCCATGAAGCGCATTCGCATAGCATATTCGAGATCAATTGAAAAGGAAAACTTTTTCTACCTTGACCTAATTTCACTGAAAATTCTTAAACTTCAATCGATTAACAATGTGGTTACCAGTTAAAATATATACATTATATTTGATACTCTAACTTCAGTATATTACCAATGAATATATTTCGAAATATTTGAAAAATTTGAATTGATTAGCAATGGTACTAGTTTGGTTAATGACAAGAAGTACGCTTGGTGGCACCTGTTCGCGTCATCATTTGGGTTCCGTTTCGCTTTTGCGCGTTCACCGAGTAACGAGACTCTAATTATATCGTTGATCGTCATAAATTAAAGTCAAGTTGCGTGGTCACGCTAGGCCCAATGCTACCCAAGCAAGCCCAAGCTCAAGCAAACAAGCAAGCAAGAGTCGATTATTCGAATGATCTTTCTGTCTCCGTCTGACCCAATATCTTTCCCGGTCTCTTTCCCCTCCTCCCCCTAGCCCCTCTAGTTTTGCGCTCGCGCCCACAGATCGTTTTAACCTCCGATAAGGTCGGATCGCAGGATCCCTTTGAATGTATGCGTACGTACGTGCGTGCGTTCGTGCATGCGCGCAACTGCTAGCAAGAAAATAAAGTAAGAAAAAAAAGAAGAACGTTTGCGCACGCACATGCACACGCACACATTTATACAACGTAGTCGATAGGATCTTTTAGTAGGAAAAGTCGTCGTCGCACGACTATGTAACGTGAAGAGATAACGACGTACGTACTACTACTACGTTTGAAAGCTTTCCTCGAGAGCCATTAACGGTCATCCGATAGGCGACTTATCGTAAGATTTCGAGAGCGTATCTCGTAAAAGGAAAAGGAACTTGAAGGTAGAGTGAACGCATGGTGAAGGAAGATCTTTTTCAGCGAAACGAGAAAGAGAAACTTTCTTTTAACGAGTAAGAGAGAGAGAGAGAGAGAGAGAGAGAGAGAGAGAGAGAGAGAGAGAGAAGGAAAAAAAGAAATGGCGTATGAAGGAATTTTCCTCAACAAAACCGCCACACCTACGATCTAACGATTCGTAAAAATAAACGTTAAAAGTTCGGGGGTAGGAAAGAAACACACCCTGAGCATTTTCTTAAGAATCTACGGTTGAAAAAGAATGAACGTAAAGAAGGACACTGAGGAAAAGAAAAAGAAAAGAAACAACATGAAGAATGAGTTAGGGATAGAGAATAGAGACGCGATGCAGATTTCCATCGGAATTTTTTTTTTTTTCTTACGGGTTGAATTGGTTAGTTCCGAAATCCAACAATCATCCGTGTTTTACTTAATTGCATGATTTCGTTTGACAAAAAGACATTGCAAGATTATCTCGGCTAGGTCAGTATTCATAAAATTGAATAAAGAAAAAAAACAGAAAGTATTATAAATAAATAATAGAAAATTTCAAAAATTTCAAAAATCTTTGCCATATCTGATTCTCTTGTATGCTAAATCCTATAGATATATATAATACATACTCTCTCTTTTTAGTATATCGTGGTTGAAATATTTCGGGTTTTTATTTGTTAAGCATTGAAATCACAATGATTCTCTGGTGAAGCATTTACTACTTCAGGGTCAATTTATAATTCCTATGCTTTTAATAATTGCCATAAAAGGCAACTATATTATTATGATGCTTCTTACTCTCCATTGTGTAAAAAATTTCTACATTTGTTTCCTGTTCGATTTTTGTCAGATAGCTATTCGTTACTTGCGACAACCATCACTTAAAAAAATAACAGACTTAAGGATTCAAATGCGCTTTTGTTCATTGACACGGTTAAAAGATGCAATGGATCGTAAAATCTCCCAAAGGGATGTGTCCTGAAAAATATTAACGTAGGCGCTAGCATATCGGAATATAATATGAGAAAAAGAATAAAAAGGGAAAGAATTTGAACGTAAAAAGAAAAAAAAAAAAAGAAAAGAAAAAAAAAAAAAGTGAAGAAAAATATACACAAAGGAGACATACACCTTTATTCTGAAAAAAAAAAAATAGTTGACGGATTATAGAAAAGATTATTTATTTGTAAGTAGATGAAAAATAAACAGAGTAGGGGGTCGTTTCGGTATGTCGGTTTGATTTGGTTTGGTTTCGTTGGGTCAGTCGGGGTCGGGGTCGAAAGCAACCAACATAGAGCGAGCGGATGGTGCACAGAGGGTAAGTGGGGAGGGGGCCCAGTGCTAAAGGAAGCTCGCGATGCGTGACTCACCAAAGCGAGCGTTGTGTTGAACGTAACGACGAAACGAAACGAAACGAAACGAACGGTCTTGCGTATAGGAGAAAGCAGCAAGCCGCGGCTATCAAACGAACGAACGAACGAACGGAACGCGACGGAACGGAGCTGAACGGAGTGGAATGGAACGAAAGGAACGGGGACTAACCGACGTAGTAGAAACCGAAATAGGGGGAAGGAGCCCCTCGCTCGCGGCGTGACGCGAACGCGGAGCCTTTGTCCTCTTTGCCATCGGCTCGCGTTATTTCACACTCCCCTCTTGCTCCCTCACCCTCTCTAACTATCTCTCTCTCTCTCTCTGTCTTTCTGTCCCTATCGATGTTTCTCTCTCTTGCTTTTTCTCTCGCCCGTCGCTTGCTTGTTCGCTCGCTCGCTCGTTTAGTTACTATCCGTCGGCAACGGCCGGTGTGCGTAATTCTATGTATACGTGTATTCATTCGTATGTGTAAAATTGTATGTAGTTTTGCTGCATGCACGTGTACGTAATCGTTGTCGTAGTCGTAGTGTCGTGCGTTCGCGAGAACGCGCACCGGCCCCGGCGGCCCTGCGAGGAATTAGCGAGTCGCGAAGCTGAAGAAGGGAGACTACCGAGAGAAGAAGAAGAACTTAGCCGCGAGTGCAAACCATCTACCACTCTCCGCGCTCGAAAGCGAGGTTAATGCGCTCTTCTTCTTCTTCTTCTTCTTATTCTCTTTTTATCTCTTTCTCTCTTTCTAGCTGATACACACCACTCCGTCTTGTTCGCTCGCTCGCTCGCTCGCTCGCGCATCGTTTGCTCCGCCGACGAAACTTAATGGCCGCTCCCTCCTCACTCCTCTTTCTCTTTAAGAGAGAAAGAGAGTGAGAGAGAGAGAGTAGCTGAACGCTATCGCGAATTCGAGACGAGTCCGACAACTCTCTCTCTCGCAAAAAGAGAGAGAGAGCTATCGTTTCCGCGAGATAGGCGAGTTTACGCGCGTACACACGATCAAACGGCGCTATTTTTGTAGCCTGCGTGTGTGCCGGCGTCTACCCTTCCCCCACACCCGACCGACCCCTTTTCCACCTCCTCCTCCTTCCTCCTCCTCCTCGTTTGCCCCCCTTCCAACGCCGCCGCCAGCAACCATCACCACTCGGTGTCGTCGCGACACCGAGCCCCGCTATTTTTCTCGCGAGCGAAAGAGAGAACTCGCGGAGGCCCCGCCGACGGCCACCTTGAATTCCGATCTTCTCCCTCTCGATCACGGACGAATCGGGCTTTCTCGCGAGACACGGTTATAGACTTCGCGAACGAGCTTCCCTCTCCTTAAACTCTTACTTTGTTATTGGCCTCATCTTATTGGGTTGCCTCTTTCTTATATTGGAATTGAAATTTAAGACTATTTTTTGTTGTTTCTTGTTGATCGAGTTATCCGTTTGCCTAACGGGAATACGATTTTTCTATATATATATATAATTTTTTGGTCCTTGGTTTGTAATTTTAAAAATTTGATATGTCATTGCTAAATGGAAATGCATATTTTAGGAATTAGGTTACAATGATCGTCATTTTGGGACCAATATTATGAATATGGGATAATAATATTATAGGATATTTCGACGAATATCGTAAATATTATTCTTCCAAGATTGATGCTAAGTTTTATTCGATTAAAGTAATGGA